AATCCCATTACGGATCCTCAAAAAGAAGGCTGGATTGCATTTAAAGAAGTCGTACAGAAATTTTTAGGCAATAACAAAGATCCTCACTACAAAAAGATAGTCGGACAAATGCTGAAAGCATTTCAAGCTTTAGGTTGCCTGATGAGTTTGAAAGTGCATTTCCTCCAGTCCCACCTTGACTACTTTCCTGAAAATGTGGGAGCTGTGAGTGAGGAAGTAGGTGAACGATTCCACCAAGACATTAAAGAGATGGAAAGGAGATACCAGGGAAAATGGAGCATTACAATGATGGCAGACTACTGTTGGATGCTTCAGAGAGACATTCCAGATGCTACTCACAAGCGTAAATGCACCAAGAGGAGCCTCACAGGGAAGAAGAATCGAGTTTAGTGTGTGTAGGTGAGCTCATTTCAGTTCAAAAAAGGATTTATGAAAAAATTGTAATAAAACTTTAATTTTATAAGTCTATTTCCATTTATTTTGAGGTATTGCCTTATTGAAACATAGTTACCTAAATTGTCAGGAAACGTGATGTCCTTTGACAAAATGGAGGTCATTTTCGGATTCAGCGCACCAAAAAACAAAGATTACATGGAATAACCAAACAGCTCTTGAAAAAAATTTTTTTGCAGACCTGTGTTATTGACATACAGTAACTGCACCATGTCAGTTCGCTAGTCAACAGTTCCAAGTTACTGACAACTGCTTTTATCAAACATTAATGACTATGGAGAATTTAAGCACATAGTATAATGATGGGCAGACCCCAGAGACCAGTGTGAGAAGCAATTGTTTCAAAAGCCAGGCTGCACTGCACCAAAAAAGGTTGAACAGCTTCTAGTGGTGGTAACCTTATATCTTTGTGACATAGTTGCAAAAAGTAAAAAACAGCTGACCAGCAGGGGTAGAGATGCTATTACTACCAGTCATAACGGCAACTGCAATAAAGGAGATATACAAAAACTAAAAGGTAATTATGTGAATATATATATTCACAAATAAGAGTCAAATTAAATGTCCTCACAAAAACAGTGCTTCACCCATTAAAATTCGAATATGCAAACAAACTAATAAGAATATCTATAAAGCATCTATAAATCATAGCAGTAAATACAGTTGTGCTCAAAAGTTTGCATACCCTGGCAAAAATTGTGAAATTTTGGCACGGATATTGAAAATATGACATATCATGCCAAAAATGCTCTTTTATTGAAGGATGACGATCATGTGAAGCCATTTATTATCAAATAGTTGTTTGGCTCATTTTTAAATCATAATAACAGAAATCACCCAAATTGCCATGATCAAAAGTTTACATACCCTGGAATGTTTGGCCTTGGTACAGACACACAAGGTGACACACATGTTAAAATGCCAATTAGAGGTCAATGTCCCACATATGTGGCTTTTTAAATTGCAATTAGTGTCAGTGTATAAATAGTCAATGAGTTTGTTAGCTCTTACGTGGAAGCACTGACTAGGCTAGATACTGATCCATGGGGATAAAAAAATAACTGTCAAAAGTCCTGCGTAACAAGGTAATGGAAATTTATAAAGATGGAAAAGGACATTAAAAAGATGTCCAAAGCCTTGAATATGCCAATCAGTACAGTTAAATCACCTATTAAGAAGTGGAAAGTTCAGGGATCTCTTGATACCAAGCCAAGGTCAGGTAGAACAAGATTGCAGCCATAGCTGACAGAAGAATTGTCCAGGATTCAAAGAAAAACCCAGAATTTTCCCTGAATTTTCTTCATAGTGGAAGTGATGACTGGCATATTCAAGGCTTTGGACATCTTTTTATACGTTCCATTACCTTGTTACGCAGTACTTTTGACAGTTCTTTTCTGATCTCCATGGCTTAGTATCTAGCCTAGTCAGTGCTTCCATATAAGAGCTAACAAACTCACTGACTATTTATACACTGACACTAATTGCAATTTAAAAAGCCACATATGTGGGACATTAACCTCTAATTGGCATTTTAACCCGTGTGTCACCTTGTGTGTCTGTACCAAGGCCAAACATTCCAGGGTATGTAAACTTTTGATCATGGCCATTTGGGTGATTTCTGTTATCAATATGATTTAAAAAGGAGCCAAAACAACTATTTGATAATAAATGGCTCCATATGATCACTATCCTTCAATTAAAGAGCATTTTTTGTCATGATATGTCATTTTTTTAATATCAATGCCAAAATTTCACAATTTCTGCCAGGGTATGCAAACGTTTGAGCACAACTGTACATCTGAAATTGGGATCATCAATCGTTAAAATAATATCCTCCACCTGGTGTAGTAGAGTGCATATATAGGAAAGTCCACCACATACCATATTTTTCGCTCCATAAGACGCACTATTTTTCCCCCAAAAAAGGGTGGGAAATGTCAGTGCGTCTTATGGAGCGACCAGCCCGGTATTTCCACCGCCACTGCCGTGTCAGAATACCGGGCCGGCCGCTCAGCTCTTCTCTGCAGCAGGACCTTACCCGTTCCTTGGTCCAGCGCTGCGCAGTCTTCCCACGCCGGCTTCTTTAGTGTGGGCTCTCGGCTGTGACAGCTGGGTGCCCAGTGTGCATGCGCTAGAAGTGCTGCGCTTTGTGAATGGTACGGTGTCTTCTGGGACACATCACAGGTCCCAGAAGACGCCGGACCAATCACAAAGTGCAGAACAACTCCACGGAAGTGGGAGCGGGTACCTGTCAAATTCAGGTACCCGCTCCCCCTGCCTCCCCAAAGGTCCACAGTCTTTTGGTCATCTCCTGTACTTTCTGCAGTCTCTGGTCATTTCCTGCACCATGTCCGCAGTCTCTGGTCATTTCCTGCACTGTCCGCAGTCTCTTGGTCATCCCCCGCACTGTCCGCAGTCTCTTGGTCATCCCCCGCACTGTCCGCAGTCCCTTGGTCATCCCCCGTACTGTCCGCAGTCCCTTGGTCATCCCCCGTACTGTCCGCAGTCCCTTGGTCATCCCCCCGTACTGTCCGCAGTCCCTTGGTCATCCCCCCGTACTGTCCGCAGTCCCTTGGTCATCCCCCGTACTGTCCGCAGTCCCTTGGTCATCCCCCGTACTGTCCGCAGTCCCTTGGTCATCCCCCGTACTGTCCGCAGTCCCTTGGTCATCCCCCGTACTGTCCGCAGTCCCTTGGTCATCCCCCGTACTGTCCGCAGTCCCTTGGTCATCCCCCGTACTGTCCGCAGTCCCTTGGTCATCCCCCGTACTGTCCGCAGTCCCTTGGTCATCCCCCGTACTGTCCGCAGTCCCTTGGTCATCCCCCGTACTGTCCGCAGTCCCTTGGTCATCCCCCGTACTGTCCGCAGTCCCTTGGTCATCCCCCGTACTGTCCGCAGTCCCTTGGTCATCCCCCCTGTACTGTCCGCAGTCCTGGTCATCCCCCGTACTGTCCGCAGTCTCTGGTCATCCCCCTGTACTGTCCGCAGTCTCTGGTCATCCCCTGTACTGTCCGCAGTCTCTGGTCATCCCCTGTACTGTCCGCAGTCTCTGGTCTTCTCCTGTAGTATGCAGTCTCTGGTCATCTCCTGTACTATGTCTGCAGTCTCTAGTCCTCTCCTGTACTATGTCTGCAGTCTCTAGTCCTCTCCTGTACTATGTCTGCAGTCTCTGGTCCCCTCCTGTACTATGTCTGCAGTCTCTGGTCCTCTCCTGTACTATGTCTGCAGTCTCTGGTCATCTCCTGTACTATGTCTGCAGTCTCTGGTCATCTCCTGTACTATATCTGCAGTCTCTGGTCATCTCCTGTACTATGTCTGCAGGTCACTGGTTCAGAATATTTTTTTCTTGTTTTCCGCCTCTAAAACCTAGGTGTGTGTTATGGAACAAAAAATACGGTAAATCCTTTTCAACTCTCCCCATCAAACACCGCACTCACCAGAACAAGGTGCTGATCTGGCATAAACAATACACTCAAATAAATATAAATAATTAAAAAATTACACTCACAATATGATAAAAACTTGTAGGCACATCAAATAACAATATGACATTTTTCACCAAATGGAATAGCGGACTGGCATCTCACCGCACATCCGCATACAGCACCTAGGTAGATCAGTGTTTATGCCAGAACAGCTTGTTCTGGTGAGTGTGGTGTTTGATGGGTAGAGTGTCTCACAGGAAACACAGTGGTGTTGGAGTGGAACAACTTGAATTCTGAAATCAGGGACTTTTTTTTAAAAGAATTTATGTGGTGGAATTTCCTATATGCACTCTAATGCACCTGGTGGAGGATATTATTTTAACTATTGATGATCCCAATTTCAGATGTATTTCCTGCTATGCTTTATAGATATTCTTATTAGTTTGTTTGCATATTGTTAGAATTTTAATGGGTGAAGCGCTGAGGACATTTAATTTGACTCATATTATGAGTTTGATTTTGTATTTAAACAGCAGCTCACAATAATTACAAGTCCAGAAGTTCATATTATTCACCAGTACAAAAGAGCGTAGTTCTTACTCAGTGATATTTTGTGTTTAAAAGGTATATACAGTTTACCTTTAAAATATAAATATCAAATATTACTACTATATTTAAAAGAACTCTTATGTCACACCTTCAGTCAAAGTGACAGAACCCTATACTAGTCTACCTCCTTGACACTTTGCTACACCTTACCCACTTCTCGGTTGGAACCACTGCAAATATCCAATGCTTCCAGGCATGGAGAAGCATATGGCTTCCTCCCATGTTTGCAGGCCCGAGAAATTTTACCTTATGAAGAGAAGGTCATCAACCCCATGTAATCTCCAACACCATCCTCTTTGGAGTCTACATGCAATGAAGAATGGTGGAGCAGCTTGACAACGGTAAGAATAAGTGATCCTATGGGTAGGGTAGTAAGAGACTGTCACTGTACTCCAAAGTTGATTTAAACATAAAAGCAATGTCTGACAGGTGCCACAAGACTACTAACAAGGTTGATGTTAAGTAAATGCATTTAAAATTTTAATTGAAAATTACCAAAATATTTCTTACCAGTTATAGTGGAGTTTCCTTTTTGTAGTTAAAGCTAGGGTCAGTTCCTTCAATTTGAAGTTTAAGTGACTGTTTAAGGCCCAAGTCTGTTTCTGTTGAAGGATATCCTTCTAGAACTTCTGGATGCCCTCGACCTTGCACAGAACGAGGCACAGAAACCCTACCAAGAAAAACTTGGTTTCCTTGAAGGTGATAATTGGGATTGGTCATAATTCCATTCCTTTTCTTTTGTTCCGCACTCTGCTGTTGAATAAACTGCTGTGAAGAACGACCAATATCTTGTTGCACTGAAGCTATCTGAATTTTGGAAGGGTCCGTAGGGATTTGCTTTAGTGGTACATTCACTCCAGGGCCAGAACTAGGAACATGTACTCTTTTGTCAAATTGTGTCATTTCATATTCTAAAACCTTAGACTGGGATGAGCTACTTTGCTTGGTTTTCTTTGTTACAGAGCTAGATTTGTTTGTGGACTCTCCTTTGCCCCCTTTACTTGTCTTTGTGGATTTTAAACTAGGTTTGACTTGGCTCCATTCAAACTCACTTGTTGGTGAATTGTTCTGCCCTAAAGACTGTGTTGTGGAAGAGGGAGATACTACTGACTGTCTACTTCTGCTACGTGGAAGTGAATGCTGTTGAATCTGCTCTGTGAAAGAAAGGCAATGGAAACTATCAATAGGCACTGTTTGAGCAGTTGCTGTAGATGAAGTTGTGCGAAGTGAAGAATTTTTAGAACTTTTAAGTGAATTGTTTGAAATAGAAGACTTATGTCTGTCTACTGTAGAATCTGGGGATTCTGAGGGAGAACTGAAAGCATGAGAGGGTCCATTACACAATCCACGCATAGTTGGGTGAACATCACCACCTCCAGTGCTGGATGAGCTATTAGATTTAATTGTTAAAGACTGTACTTTTGTCGACGTTGTGTTTAAGCTCTTTTGCTCCATTGTATGAACAGGTGATGGATTGCATCCATTGAGAGTTGATGCTCCATATTTTTCAAGCAACTTAATTATTTGTGTATGTCCATTTTTAGCAGCAACACGCATAGCTGTCCTTCCAAATTGATCTGCATGATTTGGATCTGCACCATGTTCCAATAAAACCTGCACAACTTCAGTGTGTCCTTCCTGGGCAGCAATGCAAAGTGCAGTAGCACCTTGGTTACATGTATGATCAACAAGAGCACCATTATCAATTAATAGCTGCACTACTTTTACATGCCCTTGCCAGGCAGCAGACTGTAAGGCAGAACGTTTCTCATTGTCAGATGCGTTAAGATCAGCCCGGTAGGACATCAGAGTCTGAACCATCTCTAAATGTCCCTGCCAGCAGGAAACATGAAGAGCCGTCCTTCCTTCAGTATCACTAGCTTCTACATTAGCTTCATTTTCTAAAAAATATTCAGCCATTGTTAACTGATTTTCCAGGGATAGAATGTAAAGTGTAGGGCGTCCATCAGCATCTTTTGAGTTGATGTCAGCACCATTGCTCAAAAGCAATTCAACTATATCTCTATGTCCTTCCAAGGAGGCAACACGGAGGGCATTCCGACCATCATATCCTTTTTGATCAACAGGAGATTTATTTTCCAAGAGAGTCTGTACACAGTCATAATGTCCTTCCTGGGCGGCTAGAACTAAAGATACTCTGCCATCATTATCAATTTCATTTGTTCGAGCACCTTGTTCAATTAATGCTTCACATATTAGCCTGTGACCTTCAAAAGCAGCCATATGAAGTGGAGTCCATCCAGCATCATCTCTGTGGTTTTCATCTAGGCCTCTGTCCAGAAGTGTTCTTACTACTTCAACATTTCCTTGAGCTGATGCTATGCTAAGAACAGTTCGACCTTCACTGTCGATGCTATCTACAGCAGCACCCCAGAAAAGTAATGTATTAACAACAGATGCATGCCCCATAGAAGCTGCAGCAAGGAGGGGAGTACGCCCATTGTTATCAGTGTGATCAACATCTGCACCACCTTCTAGGAGAAGATCGACCACATCCACATGTCCCTCATATGCAGCCACAAGTAGGGGAGTCATTCCATCCTTATCACAATGGTCTACCTCTGCTCCTCTTTCAATCAGGAGACTGACCACAGATGCATGACCTTTGCTTGCTGGAACACAAAGAGCTGCTACTGATAGGGCTGTTCTTCCATCTACATCTTCATGATTGACTTCTGCACCATGATTTAACAGATGCTCTACAATTTCCCTATGCCCCATGTATGCTGCTGCAATTAAAGCAGTTCTGCCTTCATTGTCAGCTTTGTTAACTTCAGCTCCATGCTGTAGTAAATTCAGGACAATATCTTCATGCCCTCCCCATGCTGCTGCTCTTAAAGCTGTTCGACTGTCAGCATCTGCACAATCAACTTTGGATCCAGCATATAAAAGTGCAGACACAACCTCAGTATGTCCACCCCATGCTGCAGATCTCAGTGCTGTCCAACCATCGTGATCGCAATGATTTATATTTGTGCCACATCCAATTAAACAATTTACAACCTTCACATGGCCTTGGCGAGCAGCCAAAGTAAGTGCTGTTTGTCCATTGGCATCTTCAATTTCAAGATCAGATCCTCTTGAGACTAGTAAATTGACCACATCTAGATTACCACTATATGCAGCATTAGCCAACAGAGTTCTTCCATTTGAATCACACTGATTAACAGATGCACCATTATCGAGGAGCGTACGGATTGAATCTTCTCTTTCTAAAGCTTGACGTACAATGCAACATGTTCTATCATCTTCACTGTCAACATGAGCTCCAGCTTTCACTAGCAACTGCAGCACCTCTTGTTCCTTTGGTATCACCGTACATAAGGAGTCTTTTACGCACGTTCCATTCCAGATCATCCACAAAGCCAGTTCTGAATTTGTTAACTGTAAATTTGAATGTATTAGATGTAATGCAAATTGCTGAACTTCTACTGGTGTCAGTTCTTTTGCTCTGCACGTATAACTCATTGCAAGCATCCTATGTCCCTCCGCTGCATTGCATAAATATTTCTGGGTACAGTGCTTCACATCAAGTAACCACTCTGCAAAACTGTAGTGGAAAAGGATTTTAGTATTTCCTAATCCATCAACAAGTACTTTCGACAGAACATCCATCTTGCGTTGAAAATCCTCCATGGTCAATGACATGCTTTTGGTCCAAACAGCATGGAACAGTTCAATAGTTGTTAGTGGTCGACAAGCAGCTAGAATAACATTTAAAATTGGTTGGACCTTAGCAAACTGTTTTCTTACAAACAGCCTCTGACACAGCCAGAGGTATAAACCATTTAAAGTTCCAGGAATATCACGAATTTCACGAAGCATGATGAAGTTTTCTACAACACCATCTAATACACGCTCCAGATAAAGAAAGCACCCGCTGCTTTTAATGTGAAGCTGATTTAACATCTCTGCAGTCTCCTTCGTTAAATGTTGTCTCAGTGCTTCTTCTTTGTCTAAACGGTGAAGAATATATTGCTGGACATCTTTAACTATGTAGGCCTTTCGAAGATCATCTAAACTTATCTTCCGGAAGCCTGCAAATAAAAATACAGAATAATTAGTAAATATAGTACACTGAACATCAATATATAACCTCAGAGCCAAATTTTTAGAATATGTGTGTCAGTTTGGAACACAGAATTATGTGTTTTCATAATTTGATGAGATCCTTCAAGTTGGCAAACTACATTCTTTACTCTGATACGGAAAAGCAGTTCCCACTTATATTACATTCCAGCAACAATAGAAAAGAGAAAACACCACTTCCTATGTTTATTTTTTTTAGAAAATTCCAGATACACTGCTGAAGAAACAGCAATAAAATGTTCACAAAGAAAACAATTTACGAAAATCATTAGGAAGTGCTACATTATTTCTGCATGCCAATTTCACATAGCATTACGGATTTATTTTTATAGAAAATGCACATAATTTAATACTGTATTGTCATATTATGTGATATAATTTAGGCGGGATTTACACATGTTAATGAGCATATTCACATAGATCCATTTCCATAAACAGACCCTTTACCATTTCTTTTTTTAAACAGGATTCCTTTTTTCTAATGCTACTTTACCTACACCAAACCTGACCAATATTTCCACAATCTAAAATGCTAAAGTTTCTATTTTAAGACAATATTCATGTATACAAATATCAGGTCAACCAACACAATTTATGCAGTGTGGTGATCAGGCTAAAATATGTGGCAGCCGTACACTGTTCCGTGTGGTAGTCATTCAGGGCCACATATTCAGTAACCAAAGTCCCTAAGGGTGCTTTCACATGGGGCAGACCCATTTAGCGGATCACCTTGCTCAGCAGGGGATCTCTCTCCGCTGATCCCCTCTAAGCAAGCGGATGACAGCTCTGTGTCCGCTCTGCTGCTGCAGAGCGGACACAGAGCTGCTTGCTCTCCTCAATGGACGGTCGGATGAAATTAGACCGCTGGTCTATTTTCATCTGACCCGATCCGACGGACAGAAGGGGAATTGGATCCCTATCCGTCCCTTTTTGGCAGATTGGATCGGATGCCAGCACACATGGCCGTTTACACCTGCCGATTAATAGTGAAGAATGGAGGTTCCGATCGGGTCCAGGCAGGTGGACCCGATTAGAATGTCCATGTGAAAGAGCCCTAACTCAAAAGATTCCGCAAAGCCCTGAATGCAAGTACCACTCAGAACAGCCTGTCGCTAATTTTGGCATGGCTGTGTCAGCAGAATGTACATGTGCCTTCTGAGCCCGGGAACACTATTACCCTTTTTGTTTTTTTTTTTACACTATAAGGCTCCGTGTACACTAGCTCAAAAACCGTTAAAAAAAAAAAAAAAAAAAAAATAAAAAAATACTGATAATAGCATTTTTTGTGCTTGCTCATAGTAGCATTTTGGAGCAATTAGCATTTTTAAAGTACATGTAGAAAAAAAATGCTAGCGAAAAAACTGTTCGGAGTGTTTTAGTAACTTTCAGTAGCACTTAGGAGCATTTAGAGGAGTTCAGCATTTTTTTTTCTGCTGGAAAAATGCTCCCACGATTTAGTTTCCGCTCCTACATGCTGAAGCTTAAAAAACACTACTAGCCTAAAATAGTGTGCATGGACAAATAGGATAACACTATTTAGCTTCTAGGAGCAAAAAAAAAAAAAAAAAACAATGCTGATAGCTGCTAATGTGCATGGAGCCTAAGGGCAAAAGCTCCAATGTGTGCAAGTCCTGAGGGCAGACATATTTGTATGTATTAATGAACTCATTGCAATTTGTGCCTCACAGTGCAAGCACAAATAATGATGGGTGTATACTTATTTGGGTAACAACCATGTGTCAAAAGACCTGTACCTTTCAATCTGCATATTCTCAACTGCAGATAACAGGAAAAGGCAAAAAAAGTGAAAACACATCAGTAACTTTTTATTCTGGATTTTGTTTTTCAAACTCCACCATAGACTGGAAATCTTCGTTTAGGGATAGCGTGATTTTCAAAAAACGAATTTTGCGTCAATAGGACTATTATGGGCGACCATCTAAGAATTCTGGTTTACAGTAAGTATCACTAACTGCCGCTGTAATTATTTTTATGAAACCAAAAATAAACACAAACAAGGCAAAGAGCCAGAGGTTTTCTAACAAAACAACAAAAAGGTTCTGTACTGTAGCATTACAGACCTGAATCAAACATATCCCACATGCAGCAAACAAAACAAGGAGATCACTACTAAAGATGTGGAGTTTTGATCTTTGCATTCAGGCGCTTATACAGGTTTCTAAGTGATGTACCACAGGAATGCAGCTAGTTACTGGAATGCATCCCAATGTCACATCTGTATAGTGTTCTGTAGTAATCAATGTCAACAACTGTATTTTAATGTGCTGATATAACCATTGAATCCCATATAACATATTGAATCCAACAGCCTTCCATATTTTTCACCCTTAAAGTGTAAAAAAAAAAAAAAAAAAAAAAAATCAGCACCTCTCCTATACATGCAAATTTCCCAATGTTTATTCAATTACAAATACTGCAAGCATAGGAAGTTGATCTTCCAGAAATACAGTATGCTCCTAACTTTCTAACAACTTCACGGACATCCCAAGCAGTGTTATCAGCTTTGTCCAGTTCTCCCTGCAAGATTACACCTCCCCTCTTATCACCATACTGTGGGGAAAATAATTATTTTATCCCATGCAGATTTTGTAAATTTGCTCACTTACAAAGAAATGAAGGGTCTGTAATTTGTATCAGAGGTATTTTAAATGACAGAGGCCAAAAAATCAACAAAAAAAACAAAACACGATACAAATGTTATAAATTGAGTTTCAGTTGAGTAAAATAGGTATTTGATCTCCTACCAACCAACAATAATTCTGTCTCCCACAGACTGGCTATGTGTTCATGTGGTACACAGAATAGTGCTGTCAATTTAAGAAGGTGCTCCTAACAGCAACTCATTTTGTGTATAAAAGACACCTGTCCACAGAATCTTTCTTCCATGGGCAAGACCAAAGAGCTGTCAAAGTATGTCAGGGACAAGACAGTAGCCCTGCACAAGGCTGGAATGGGCTACAAGACATCAAGAAGCTTGCTGAAGAGACAATTGCAGGAGCGATTATTTGCAAAATGGAAGAAATACAAAACAATTATCAATCGCCCTCGGTCTGGAGCTCGATTTCGTTTCATGGGGCCGCAGTTGTGACCACAATCACCAAACAAACCACTGGTAACACAATACACCACCATGGATTGAAATCCTGCAGCATCCGCAAGGTCACCCTCCTCAAGAAGGCATATGTACAGGGCCATCTGAAGTTTGTCAATGAACATCTAAATGATTCAGAGAAGGATTAAGAGAAAGTGCTGTGGTCAGATGAGATCAAAATTGAGCTCTTTGGCATTAACTCGACTCACCGTGTTTAGAGGAAGAAAAATGCTGACTCTGACCCAAGAACACCATCCCTACAGTCAAGCACAGAGGCAAAAACTTTATACTTTGGGGTCGTTTCTCTGCTAAAAAGGTACAGGCCACATTGAGGGGGACACTGGACAGGGCCATTTATTGTAAAATCTTGGATGATAACCTTCTTCCCTCAGCCAGAACACTGAAGCTGGGTTGTAGATGGGTCCTCCAGCATGACAATGACCCAAAACATACCACCAAGGCAGCAAAGGAGTGGCTCAAGAAGAAGCACATTAAGGTCCTGGAGTTACCTAGCCAGTCTCCAAATCTTAATCCTATAGAAAATCTATGGAGGGAGCTGAAACTTCAAGTTGCCAAGCGACAGCCAAGAAACCATAAGGATTTAGAGAAGATCTGTAAAGAATAGTGGACCAAAATCCCTCCTGAGATGTGTGCAAATCTGGTAACCAACTACAGGATAATTCTTACCTCTGGCTTGTCAACAAGGATTTCTCCACCAAGTACTAAGTCGCGTTTTGCTTGGGGACCAATTACTTATTTTACTCACTGAACTGCAACTCAATTTATAACATTTGTATCGTGTGTTTTTTTTCAGGATTTTTGGTTTTCTGGATTCTGTCTCTATCATTTAAAATACAGTTATGATAAAAATTATATACCCTTCATTTCTTTTGTAAGCGGGCAAACTTACAAAATCTGCAGGGGATCAAATTATTTCCCCACTGTAACATAAGAAAGGGAAGTGTTCAGCAGTACAATGCAGTAAAAGTAATCTGTTTACTTAAAGTGGTATTAAACGCAAAAGCAAACAATTATATTGCAGATTACAAATTTTTAGATGTGATGGCTGTATTAGTTTTCTTTTTAGGCTTTCTTTCTTTTATTTTCACTTGATGATCCTGAGAGTAAGTCTGTTTTTCTTTTACAGATGTAGCAGGTATGGGGTTAAAACAAACCATTTAACATTGACAGGGGTGCTTACAACAGTCAGCTTTTATTTATGTAAAACCTTTATCCAAAATGGACAAAACTGTTGCAATAACCGATTATAAAGTGTTAGCTGGAGTTTGGCTTCAGTTTGTTAGTTTTTTTTTTTTTTAAATCTGCTAGTCATTCTAACACTCCCTCCCCCAGATTGAAAATGCTTCAGTCCAAAGGTGTGTCTGTACTCCTTTATCCAGAGTGGAGGCATTCTAAGGCTTGGTTCACACTGTTGCATTTGTGCGGCTTGCATTCATTTAAATGGACTGCTGTACCTGTGGGAAAAAACAAGGAAAAAGGTCCCTGCGCCTTTTCAAAATTGCAGCCGCACAAACCACACGACACTTTTGCACCATGCAGTTTCTTTCACCCAAACATAAGCTGTATTCTCAGATGCATGGGGGAATACTATTAAGAATGTATTGCACCCCCCAACCATCTTCAAAGGAGCAATCCATTTGGCTGTGGAAGCGGGAACGTGTACAATTTACAACTGCAACAGTTTGAATCTATTTAGGAAGGGTGTTACTAGCCAGATCATCAGGTGAAAACACAAGAGAAAAAGGCTGAAAAAAGAAACCTAATGCAGTCACCACATCTGCAGGCTGGTAAGCTACAATATATACATTTTTTGGTTTAGGGT